CTGCATTACAAATTTACATCCTTCATGTGCTTCTGCGTGGTTGGTGTCTAACCCATCAGTTCCCTCTTTTAGGATCTTTATGAAATCTCAGATGGAGTCGGAGTGTCAAGCCTTGGCACCCCTGGGGTTTCAAACGGGGTTCATGCATCAGAAGATACGAACAACGAAATTCCCGGTTCTAATCTGTTTGGGAGAACGTTTTCTGGCATCAGTGCCTCTTTCCTTGCAAGAAACCGCAGTGTGAAGCAGTCTTTTAAGTAGCCCGGCCAGTCAGCAACATACTTAAGATGTACTTTTTATTTAAGGTTAGCTGCAGCTAGCTGAGCTTACCCCTCAGACACAGGCAGTGCCTGGTCATATTTGTGGTTGCTGAATTTTGTAGAGACGTTTATGTTATAAAATTGCTCTAGGATATATGTATTAGTTTGCGAGAAGTAATTTCTCATAAAATAGTACAGAAACAGAAAAATTCTCAATAAACTGCCCCCCCTCCCCCTCCGCCCCCCCTCTTTTTTCTCTCTCGTGCATATAGTGAATTACAAGCTACTTCGTTGGTTAAAGGTTGCACCTAGCGATGTTAGTTACTGTTTATTAAAAAAGGTAGCCGGTTGAGGTGTCGCAACATTGAAGACTGGATGAGATAATACTGGTTCTTGTTATTGATAGTCTTACTGGGTACAATTTTGCGCACCATGAAAAAGGGCTTCAAGTGTCTAAGAACCATCCATTTGTGCTTTGGAGTGATGCAGATTATCACTTAATTATCTGTTTACTTGCATGCCTGCCAGTTTAGGTCAAGGTCAATGAAGTAACGAGACCCTTTTATGTACGAACGGACCCCTACGCTTAACACTACTATACAGCAAAAAAAGTTGACATAATTCCTAAACATCTTTATCTTTTTCTGGTTCTGGATTGTGATAAATGAGCAACTTCAAATTTATTGAAAATTAATTCTTTACCTTACCAAACTTTTTTCATCAAATATACTACAATATATGTAGTATAAATTAAAAATGAAAAATATCCTCAATCCCATATTTAATATACTAAAAGCTGAAATTATGCCACCAGACACGCCTCATAAATCGCCCCCAATTCACGTCCTATTTCCCAAATCTCCAGCCTTTACCATTAAACCATTGAACTAAGAAATTTGTAAATCAAAACAAAAAGATCTTCAATACACTCCAAGAACTCTACAATTCATATCTCAATCTGTAATTCTACTATATTTTTCATCCAAAAAATCTTTGTTTCCAGATACACACACCGATTCTTTGCATTTTTCATTGGCCTCACGATCTATGTAAATCTACTGAAGATATACATGTAGAGAGTTAACGATTCCAATCTCTATAAACTTCATTATTTGCAATCTCTGCATCAAATGATATATTAAGGGGGTGTTTGATGGATATTTTTATGTAAAAATACATTTTAGAATAGTAAACTAATGTGAAATATGTTGTTGAGAAATAAGGAAATTTTTTTGATTTACGTGTAATATTATTTTAATAAAGAATGTGTGGTTGAAAAGAAGAGAGAAAAATGCATTTTGAAAAAAATGGTTACCAAACGAGGGCTAAAATCCTGTTTGAGAGATTGCACACCAGGCATCAAGATTATGACCTATTAGATGGAAACTCCAAAACGCATTTCAACTATAGGATTCGACAAGAACAAGATGTGGTTTTACACTGCACCGTCAATGGAGTCATTGGACATCAAGAATGAAAACCTGGAAACTCTTTCAAGACTAGGGATGACAATTTGAACCGTCAAAATCGAAAATCGCTGTTAATCGAACCAAATGGGGCGTAAAAATCGAACCGATAGTGCAATGGGACGGATATGATTTTTATTTAATGAACCGGTTCGTGGCTGTGCGGGTACGGTATTTACGCCATCTAACCAAAACTGAACCGATTACTCTCTAAAAAAAATAAAAAAAATTGAATTGATTATTGGGCTTTACACTACTTTTCTATCTAACCCAAAACAAAATCTCCCCATTACATCTACATGACTTAGTCGGCCAACCCACTTACCATTAGCCCATAATAATAGCATTAGTATGATAGTATATAAATGCAAACCATACTCTCCACAAACCACAAACTCACGCACGGCTCCTTTTATTGTTAATTTTTTTCTATTGTGTGTAGAAAATTCTACGTCTTCATCATACTCTAAAACTTGGGCAACGTTTAGCGAGAAGGAAGCTGACGAAGATGTACATTTTTTTATTTAAATCTTAGTTAAGACTATTCTAGAATAGGTAGTATCGTTGTATTCTCTATTTACATTTCTTATTTACTATATAGGAATCAACTTTGCGTGTTGATCTATACTAGTAAGACTTGTGGGGAAGCATGAATCAAGTAACTTCGATGCACAACAATCAAGAATGAAGGAAAAGTTTAGTATTGTTATATTTATAATATTGTTTCTTAAATTTGTATTTTACAATTAAAAATTTGGATAATGTTTGCATTTTTGTTTGGAATATTGTTTGATAAT